CTCTTGGATTCCTAACTGTTCTCATTGTCACCATGGAGCACGGAGTGAACTGTCTGTCTCACTATGGAACACAGTGGAACGCAGGATGAACTGTCCCCAACCTCACTATGGATCACAGGGTGAACTGTCCCCAGTCTCACTATGGAATACAGGATGAACTGTCCTCAGTCTCACTGTGGTGCACAGGGTGAACTGTCCTCAGTGGCACTATGGAACACAGGATGAACTGTCCCCAGTGTTACTATGGAGCATAGGATCACCCATCTCCTCTGCTTCCACCTCCCATAGCTGGGATGACAGACTTGTGTCACCACACCTCTCTCTTCCTGTGCACTTTAAATTGTCTCCTAGGATGGTAAAATACAATGTACCATGCACATGAGCACCAGAAATGTCTAAGCATTATCTGCCTGGGAGTGAACAAAATACTTAACAGGGTGTAAAGCAGGAAGTTGCTGTTGTACTGTCTGCAGAATGACTATAAGAAAACCAGCTGTACGTTTAGTAAGGCATAATTAAAAAGTATTTTCATTCCATGTTGTTCGAGCCTGAGGTTATGCATCCTTTAGACCTATACTTCACTGATGGGACTTTGACTTCACCTTCACTGGCTTCTTAGTTCTGTGAGAGGCACTGTCATACCCTGGGGCCATTTCTTCAGGAAGATATTTGGAAAAATTACATGGTTTCCTGCTTCCCCTATGTTGAAAATCCACGATCAGAACTAGCTCCCCATGAAACAGCCATAGGACCTCCCTCCCTGGAGTTAGGTGAGTTATTGGACTACTCACTCCTGAAAGTTACTGAGTCCATCACTTCAGAAACATCTCCTGCACTGATGGCTGAGAGTTAACATATAAGACAGACCCAAGGCAAACTGTGCATTGCACTTTTAAAGAGAGCTTTTGTCTTTCTATTTTTATCAAAATCAAGGGAAATGACACATGATAACTTTTCTCTGGAAGATCCATTTTTTTCACAAGCAATTGACTTAGATGTACTGCTGCTTTTTATTTTCTGAATATTTCATTCATGTAACAATGTATTTATCACATTAACACGTTACCTTCTTTTACCCTCCTCCCATCCATGCTGACCTTTTCTTTTTTCCAACTAGTCCTTAGTTTTCATGTCTGTTTTGGTGACTTGCTGACTTGCATTAGGGTTGATCATAAAAGCAGAGATATGGAGTTATTTATTGGAGCATGGGCAAAACTTATCAGTAGCTACAGTTTTAGAGAAAATCACTGATCCCTTTGGTGTCCCCCAGCAACCATTAGTTGTCAACAGTTCCTCTGTGAAGGGTAGAGACTAGTGAGCTTCCTTGACTTTAGAAGGATGCATTGCAGAGGAAATGCCAGGGAGGAAGGAAGCCCAGCTCCTTCCATGAACATTATTACACAAAGCCACCTCTGTAGACAAAAGTGGAGATGAGGCCCCTTTTCTCCCTTCTGGGATGATCCATTATAAGGCAGAACTCACCCCCAAAACCTTTGGCTCGCCCTTCAGGAGATCCAGTAAAGAGTTATGAGGTCTGTAGGGAAAGGCAGTCAAGACATCTTCATCTGGATCTATAGTGATAACATGGGACCTTCTTTTCTCCCCAGATGGTGACTCCATGATTCAGCAGCAGAGCTCTGTTAGGAGAAGGAGTGAAAGGATATTGCAGCCATAATCATGATGTATTTCTCCCCTAGTGCCACATGGAGTCTGCCGCATGAGCCCACAGCAATTACATAGTACTAGAACCACAGAATCCCAGTCATTGAGTCATAGAATCTGAGAATTCTAGAGTGTACTGGCCTTCTCGATTATTACAGAGGGAACCTTGAAAACTTGTTCTATTATCAGTTCACTTAAAAAGCATACGGTAAACACAAAATTAGATAGATGGTGCATACAAAACAAATGCCTGTATCTGTGTGTGTGTGTGTGTGTGTGTGTATGCACATGTATACATATACACACACATATGCACATATACATATATGTGCATATATATTTCACAATTATGCTCTGGTACTCTATCAAATACTAATTACAATTATACATGGTTTGGAATTTTGCTTTTCAGGCTAATGTCTATATTCACATATTTGTTATGATTTCAACTGCTAAATCACCAAGGTAAGCAGTTTAATAAGGCCAGACATAACAGATGCAAGAATCATCTCAGATAGTTCCTAGATTGCAGCAATCACAAATACCTTTGCATACTGTTGTTTGGACACACTCATTCTCTTGAATTTTTCATGAACTTGCTTATGAATAATAAAGGAGCTAAGCCTTTAACACATCTACTATATCTCAGGCACTGTGTTAGGTGCTTTGTTTTAATGTGCACTGCAGTGGCACATTTGGCAAATGAACAGTGGTCAGACTGAGAAGCAGAAAGGTCAATCTGTCAAAGAATAAATGCCAAGAGATAGATGAAGGATGTTCTTCTATCTCTAAAGCCTGTGTTTTTACTGTCAACTATACTTCCATCCTTTTGTAAATGGAGTTTCCTTCTTTTAGGAAAAATATTATTGTTTAACAGTATCTTTTAATAGTATTAAAATAGCAAACTATGGCTATGTTTTCCAGATTTTACAGCATATTAAAAACATATACTTAGTGTTCAGAGTAATGTTTTAATACACTGTACAATTATTACTATCATGAAGTCAATTAACATATCCATCACCTGACACTGTTACTGCTTTTCCTCTTTTCTTCTTGTGGTAAGAAATTTAAGATCCACTCTCGGGCCCGAAGAGATGGCTCAGTGGTTAAGAGTTTGTACACAAGCCAAGGAAACAATCAGTTGAGGAAATCTTGTGTCGTGGAAAGATTGTAAGGGCCAGAATACCAGCATGTCTGCTTGAAAGTCTTTCATAGAAATGGCTGCATGAACAAGATCTGAACAATGTCTGTGTCAATAGATATGCTAATGTGGAAGCAGGGGAAAAATCTCATGGGGTTCTACCTCTAGACAAAGAACTACTGGCAATTAATGACTGCTAATATAGGAAGAGTTAGCCTCTCCTGGAGATGAGTTCCCTAAATGATTGTCCAATATAAAGGGGTCAGCCCTGAAACCATATACACACAAGTTTTTTTTATTATGGATAGATAATAATTATTATAATAATTATATTAATGTTTGTGCATATGTATACATCTATATATCAGTGGTAATCAGGAAGGAAAGGCGTATCAATTTTGGAGGGAGAAGACATGGAGGGAGTTTAAAGGAGGGGACTTGGGAGGGGCTGGAGGGAGGAAAGGGAGGAGAGAAATGATGCTATTACATATTTTTATAAAACGTTTTATTGATTCTTTATGGATTTCACATTATGCATCCTGATCCCACTCATCTTCCTCTCTCCTTGACCTTGCAACCTCATCCCTAAAACAAAATAAAAATTTTAAGTAAAAATAAAAACCAAAACAAACAAAATCTTGGTATGGAAGTTGTAGTGTGTCACAGTGAGTCAGACAGTGTACCCTTTAGTCCACACGTCATTACTTGTGTTTATTGCAATGAATCATTGGTCTGATTCAGGGACTCTGGCTTCTGCTACTATTGTCATAGGACCCTCACTGGGACTCCTCTTGGATACCCTGTTGTTGTCTTGGGTCGTGGAGATCCTGCAACTTTGGATCTGCAGGTCTGGCCCCTTTACATACTCTAGCAGTCCATAGATGAGTTGGATATTGGGGTGGGCTAAGCCATAGCCCTGGAAATTGGTCAGCCCATCAGCCATAATATTATATTTTCATTAAAATGTGCAAAATGATGATGATTATGATTATGATGATGATGAAAAGAAAACAAAAGAGTGTGTGCTGTTCTTTCAGAGGGCTGGAGTTCAGTTTTTAGCACTGATATATGGTAGCTCATAACTATCTGTAAGGGGCGTCTGCACCTCTGGCCTCTGAAGCACATACATGTATGTACACATACACACACACACACACACACACAAATGAATCCAAGGAAAAGAGATGAACTCTCTTCACACTTTTCTTTCTGAGTTCTCTATAGATTTTAGTTGTCTTTTTTACTGTTCCTAGGCATGTAGGGGACTGGTCTATGTACTGCTGTGTTTCCATAATAGGTCTGTATGTTAGAAACCTTACATATTTATTTCAGTTGAACATTGCTTTATGCAAAGCAATACTAGAAGCTCTCTTTCTTGGGTGAGAAATGTTGATTTTTTTTCCAATCTAGGATTGAAGTTGCTATTGCTTTTCTGTGTTCAGTGACTTATTCAGTCTAGTACTTAAATGAGAGAGTATATCATGGTGAATTATAGTCTTTGAATTCAAATAAAAATTAAAGCAGTGTGTTTGGGATCTAACTCAGTGTTAGAGTTCTTTCTTAGCATGTGCAAGGCCCTAAGTTCAATATCCCATTCCTACCATATGTGAAATCATTAAGTGAGATAGAAATAAGCCATTTTCTTGTAACAGAGTCTCACTCTGCACCCAAGCTGACCTTTGAACTCAGGGCAATCCTTCTGCTTCATGCCTAGCTATGATTTATTATTATTTTTCAATGCTGGGTATAAAACCCAGATCCATGCATAGGCTGTCACATTTTCAAAAGATTGCAAATGTTTTGGTAATGTATGATGTCTAATATTTAAGCAACAGGAATGTATAAGTAACACAGAGAAAGATCCTACCCAGATGCATGATGTCATTAGCTTCCACCCCCTGCAGGGCTGCTCGCTTTCTCATCTAACTTCAGACAGATGAAACACTGTCTGCTCATTCTGTTTGGAGAAGTGTATAGAGTCTGTGGTCATTGTAGAATGGTGAAATATAGAATCTTGCTGCCTTGGACTTGGAGGAAATGATTTTCATCAGGAGTGAAATGACTCATATTGAAAGCCACCACAGGAAAGCTTTTTTTTTTCTTTCAGAAGTTTATTTGGATCTACCAAGACTGAGATTTCAGGAATGTCTATCTGTGCTCTTCTGGGAGAACTGGATTTCTTCCTTCTTCTGTATTTCATATCCATGGCTTCAACAAACTGCTTTTGACAACTTGGGTATGATCTTGTGATTCAGGCATGAAAAAAATGCACTCTAGAAGGATAACATTTATTAATAGGCTTTAACACTTTGATTTGGGGGGGCAAGGTTTAAAATATACTCATGTATTTCTCTTAAGTGCAATAATACAACATATACTATAATAATATTTTACAGTAGTACTTTTGCAATTCTATCATAGTATATAGTTGCAGCAATATTAGTTCAAGCAAATTTCACCCCATTTCCTCATTGTGTTGCTTTCTCGTAGCCTCGAAGTTGAATCATGATTTGTTCAAATTATAATGTTATCTTCTTGTAGCATTTAGGAGAAATGAAAAGTTTGAAATTATAACAGTAGAGGATAAGAGGAAGCAAGGCGAAGAGCAGAAAAACATTAAAAAAAAAAAACCCCAAAACCCTCCTTGTGGAGTGGGGCGGGGGGCTGGGATGGGAGAGGGTCAGGGGGCATGGGAGGGAGAGAACTGAGATGGATATGTAAAATAAGAAAAAATAATAATTAAAAGCCATTAAGTAAAGGCAGAAACAAACAAGGAAAACAAACAAACAAACAAACAACAACAACAAAAAACCCAAAACAAAAAACCCAGTAAAATCTTGGTAAAATCATGTTAGCAAGCACTTGGCTATGGAGACAGATGTCAGAGTGCATGATAAGAACAAGGCTATGTAAACTCTCATTCTTCCCGTGTATTTTTATCTAAGTTTTGGTTCACTCATGAAATTTCAGGGGCTAACATCTAGAACCAGCTAGTTTCTTCAGGGAGGGATTTTCTTACAGTGCTGCTGCCCTGTAGGCACTGTCTTATCCCACCCAGGTGACTATTCAACGAACTCTTATTTTCATCATTAAAGTCACTTTCCATCTTATCCTTTGTGCCTGTATCATTGCAGATCAGAGCAGGGAGACAGTGGGTGGGTGTGACAGAAATAAACAGAGAACTTACCCAGGCTTGTTGGCATAGACTTGCTTCCACCAAAAAACAGAACTGTATGCAGCCAGCAAAAACTCCAGCACAGTGAAGATGAGCATCACCACCAGCCCACTCTGCAAAGCAGGACAGGCCTGGGTGGAACCCCATAGAAAGCCTTTGGGCCCTACTGAGAGGAGAAGGGGGCAGGGGGCGGGGCGGGGGCTGGGCGGGGGTGGGGCGGGGGCGGGGGCGGGGCGGGGGTGGGGCGGGGCAGGCATGGAAGCCCTCAACCATGGAGATCAGAAAGAGCAGAGACCATGGCTCCATCCGCTCTCTGTTTTCACTTTCAGGTTTCTTAGTGATCACACAGAGATGAGAGGGAAGAGTGACTGCCCATCTGTCCCTACTTGTTTTCGCCATTTTGTTTGTCCTTGGTGCTTTTCATTCTTCCCATTTTCAGGTGTGGATTCAGAATACTTACCTACAGGGTCCTCCCTGGGTTCCTTCAGTGTGCAATTTCATGTCTTCGATTGTGAAAAATTCTCAGATAGTTATTTTCTCATAGTCTTTCTTCCAAACTTTTCTACTAGAACTCATGTTTATGTTCAACCTTTCCTTGTAACTTCAGCATCTGTGTCATTTATATTTTTCAAATTTGATATGCTCTAATGAGATATTTCCTCAGATGCATTAAATCTGCCCTTTACTGTTCCTAAGTTTTTTGTTTTGTTTTGTTTTGCTTCCATTGCTAGTCATGGTTCCTCTTTATTAAGTTCCCTTGTCCTTTTTATCATACTGTCCTGTTCCTGGATTTTGGCTTTGTTCTAATCAGGATTTCTATTACTGTTGTAAAACGCCATGACCAAAAGCACCTTGGAGAGGAAAGGGTTAATTTCATCTTATGCTTATAGGTAACAGACTCTCACTGGGGGAAGTCAGAGTAGGAACTCAGAGAGGAGCCTGGAGGCAGGAACTGAAGCAGAGGCCATGGAGGGATATTGCTTACTGGCTTGCTCAGCCTGCTTTCTTACAGCACTCAACAGGATTGAGTGTTTTTTTTTTTTTAAATCATGTTTTTCATATACTTATCATCATATAGTTTAAGTGCACATGTGATGGTGACGGTATTAGTTTGTGTCTTCAATATGTGAGAATCTTATAAGTGGGATTTATTGATGTGTCCCTAGATAGTTGCTTTAAGTTTGATTTTGTAAGGACCTTAGGAGTATCAGGGATACAGAAGCAGTTTTGAAACTCCTTTATCAGAAGCCATCCTAGTGTTGATGGGACTGTGAGTTTAGATGTGCCATCTGCACGAGGTTGAGTGAGCTGTCAGACATTTGCAGGGCTCTTGGTGTGTGCAGACGAGCTTGACAACCCTAAACCCTTACCCTGGGCGTTAACAGTTTTGGATCCTTGTCTCTAGCACCTGTTTCTGAGTAGGTGCCCCAGTTTTCTGCTTTGATGATCCTTATTTGCTTCTGCACCCTATGTCATCTTTATTTCTTCCTTCCTCCAGCTCCCCTTTACTTTCTTCCAGTCTTAAGTACGCACATATGCATACACACACACACCATACTCACACACACACACACACACACACACACACACACACACACACACACACACACGTATGTTCAGGTTAATGCTGTATTTATTAAATGTTAACATCCCTTTGAGGATGGCTTACATTTTAGTATTGAGGAAGTCATTTTTGGCTCTACTTGTATCAGGGTATCAGATAATTTGATGTACTGAAATTAACCCTAATTGAAACAATCCACCAGTGTCCCAGTGAGAGAACACTTTCCTCTCATTACTTTACGCTGTCTTGCAGTGTGATCTCCTGGGCTGTCTCAGCCTCACTTCTAACAAGATAGATCTCCATTCTTTCACTCCCCCAACACTTTTGGCCTACTCACAGGGTCAGACTCATAGAGGGATATGAGTCCAAAAACATTCACACATTCTTCAAGACTCCTAAGTCAGATGGACACCAGAGAATGAAAGATACTGGCTTGGTCATTCATTGCTCCCATTAGGAGAAGTAATGAAGGAACAAGGAACATTGTTATGGTTTAGACACTATAATCCTACATTTAAAATGGACTAAGCCAGACCTGTTACTATCAGTAGGTGGTGGCTGTTAAATTTGGGTCAGAGGTGTCAAGGAAATTCTGCCCAGGAAGACTAATGTTTTCACAGGAGTCAGATCTACTAGTTCGCTGCCTCCTACCCTCTTCCCCTCTTTGCCAGTCCTGAGCAGATGTGCACTTGAGGAAATTAAACACTTTGTGTCTGCTCCGAGTCTCAGAGTACATGTGACCAAAAGGCAAACATCTCTAACGGGCGAATTGTTCCAACTCCAGGCAACAACCCCAAAGGGCTTCCCAAGTTCAGGTTCAACACAAATAACAAAGAATAGCATTGCCTATTGTGACTTAAAACTCTCCATTGTATTTTCTTAATCTCCTCACCCTCTTCCCCTCTTTCTGCTTTGTTTCCTGCATCCCCCAACACACAATTTACTAACTTTCTGACATATGTGTTTGTGTTTTTCCTGTCTGCCCCAGACAGTCAGACCAACAAAACCAGAGGTTGCTGAAAAAGCAAAAATTGCACAAAGGGGAAAAAACAGGGGTTTTACATGACAAGATGTTTAGTCTGGAATTACTTACCATGATGCTGACATAAGCAAGGAGACAGTTCTTGTCTTCATTCATCCAATGGTGGGATTCCGAATAAAGCATTAAGGACAGAAATTTCTTTTCTGAATTACAGTGTGGAGAAGCAGTCCCCATGTCTATAAGGCTATGGGTGAGGAGGAGGAAGCCAATTGTAGCAACAGCAGAGCTTGCTGCATTGGAGGCCAAGCTGCTCAGTGCCTGGAAGAGAGGTTCTCATCTTAGGCTTGGTGCAGAATTCTCCATTCCCTTTGCCTATTATATTGCAATGGTACTTCCCCAGGGTAGTTTATAATATATTCTGGGGCCTCTTATCAGGCAGACCATGATAATTTGTCTTTGTATTGTTTATCACTCTACAGTTTGTCACACAAGACAGTCAGAAAATGTGTATTGGAGGGGAGAATGTGAACAGCTCCCCACAGTCTGACTTCCTGACTCTCCATGATGCTGAATACCAAGGTGGGTGCCCAAGCCTGCTGTCAGCATCTCCACTAACTTCTCCAATGCTCTTAGAACTGTCCTTTGAATATCTCTTACACCATGGCCTTTGGCATCCTCTGGAGAACTAAGACTATAGTTTTACCGCACATAAAGAAGCAGCTTTAGGACTTCTCTCCAGTCTCTAGGTTAAGTCCTAGTCCCTGCTTCAAATGACTTGACAGATTTACATGACCCCACCTGGATAGCATTGCCCTACATGTGGAATTGGGGTTGGGGGATGGGAGGGGAGGGTGGTTAGGGTGCATGTGAGGGGGAAGAGAGAGTAAGAGGGAGAGAGGGAGGGAGAGAGAGAGGGAGGGAGGGACAGGGAACTGGGAGAGGGAAAAAAGCAGCTTTAGAGAATAGTGAAAGTAAACTGAAGAGGTTTGGTAACCTAGAGCAGTGGAAGATAATGCACTTTCATCTAACAAGAAGCTGACAAATGTGCACCTTCTTTTTCCTTCCAAGAAAGGACAAGAAGTATTGGTGTGTGTGCTTAGTCCCTATGGTTCTACCTATGCTCACCCTTCAATAACACATGAGCAGGCAGTAGCCTATAAAATGCAGGAGGAAACAGTAACACTGTTGCCCCTGTGGGTATATGCCCTCCCTGCTTCCTGCCACACACCCCAACTCCAGAAGCCACAGGGTCTAGATAGCTATGCTAAGAACACAATGGTGGTGTGGGAGCTGGCACATGTTCCTGATGACTGAAGCTTGAGTTGTATGGTGGTTGAAGAGTTCTCAGCATTGAATGGGGTCATGATCCTGGGCTTGCAATCAGGAAATGTAGACTTCCAACTCAGTTATTACTAATCTCTCTCTCCTCCCCCCCCCCGTGTGTGTGTGTGTGTGTGTGTGAGAGAGAGAGAGAGAGAGAGAGAGAGAGGAGAGCAAGAGAGAGAAAGAGGGGGGAGAGAGGGAAGGAGGTAGGAAGGGAGGGAGGGAGGGAGAGAGAGAGAGAGAGCAGGCAAATGCTTTTCTACTCTAGGTTTCGGTTTTTCTCCCATCATACGTGGAAAATGAACACATTCACTTCAGAAGTGACTTCTCAAGTGTGTCAGGAAGTCAGCTGAAGAACATATGCTCCCTAACCTGTTCTGAGTTTTGTTTCCCTAAACTGTGCAGTGGGGGGATGGAACTAGAAGAATTAATTATGAGGTTCCAGCTATTACAACCAACTGGAGATTGTTCTTCATACTTACAAAAGGTTTGAATGAGAGTTGCCCAGAGATTATTGAGAGAGATCCAGCAATGACAAACTGTTCAGGAAAGAGAGAGAAAAGAAAGAGTTGACCTAAGCTGCCTTCAAATCACTCAGAATAAACAATGGGAAACTTCTAGGGACACAACCCTATAGGAATGGCATGTCCTTCTTGCTAGGGAGCCTTCATATCTATTTGGGATGTCTGTGCTGACTTTAAAGAATAGACACCTGCTCAGGGTGTTGAGTTTATGTTATGGTAAAGCAGTAATTGCAGATAAGATGCAACAAATGCCTGGAAGATGTTACTAATATTTAAAGGGGAGATTGAGGAAGATCAATGACTTGAAATTTGAGGCAAATAGAGACAAGAAAACCAACAGAAGCACCTAGCAAGGGAGCTTCTCATGTGACAAGAGACAGAAAAATATGGAGTTGAAGCTATTGATGTAGGTGGAAAGTTGCCCGCAGTTTATGAAATCAGGAGGACAAGATCCGATGTGAAACTTTGATTATAACTGCCAAGAAGGCAGTATTTGATTGCAGTGGTTCTAGCAAAGGGCCCATCAAGTAGAGGGATGGTGGTCTGGAAAGCTGAAACATTGATTATGTCTGTGACATGAGTATTGGGTAGTCACAGATAATGAAAGCCAAAAATGAACCAGTAGGAGCTTCACTAATGAATTGTGGATGCTGCCACCACTGGTTAGACAGTGAACTCCAGGACAAATTATGCTTTGGGGACAAGAGCAGACTTTTTGCACACTGTGTAGTTGTGTCCAGGTAGGGATCGTGGTCACTTTTGTATAATTCATCTTCTCTGTATGTGCCCATTTCCCTCATTTTTACAAGATTCTCTACTGAAGAGAAATGATTGTTGGTAGGAGGTATATATTGGGCCTGGCTACTCTGAAACTAAGATCCAGCAGTGCCCTTTCCCATGAGCCATTAGATAAGCCCAAGAACTCTATGGAGGTTCAGGGTTACCTGGAAGCAGAAGAATGCCTCTGTTTTCCACAAGCCTTGTCGTTACCGAGACAAAACTGTGGTGTCTAATAGAGGTCCCAGGTTATTGTTTAACCAGCATTTCTCACTCTGTACCTGAGAAGTGAATTACTCTTAAAATGGCTAGAATCCAATGGCCTCTTCAAAGCCTCAAAGAGGGCTGTAAATAATGTTCCTTTCATCTAACAGGATATGGTGTCAGATAAGAAATGGGCTGATGTATCCAGTGTGATGTCTTTTCTTGTCTCCTGTCTTAATCAGAGCCCTTCTGAAGTGAATAAGAGACACAGGACATGAGATAATGACAGGGATGTTGAGATTGCCTCCTCGTTCATCCTTTCCTCTTGAAGATGAAGCCATTCTATGACTGAATGCCTAGTATATATTTAGGAAGCATAAACGCTTTTGGAGATCAAATTTTACTTACACATAGGGATCCAACAAATGGGTATCCAGTCATCAAAGTGGTGAAGGCTGCTGGGTTGAAGTAGGAAGAGTAGGAAGCTGATACCAAAATGCCCCCCAAGCTTGCAATTGTCAGGGCACATAGTATCTGTATGGTCTGTGACAGTCAAAACAGGGACTTTAGAACATGCTTTAAGTAGATGCAAAGGATTATTTGAATACACATTGACTTATAAGAAGTATAAAGTAGGTATGATTTCCATATTAAAAGGTGGGGGGGGGGATCCCACAAGGAAAAATAAGCCTGTTCTAAGAGGAAAATCCAAATTTCACTTTATTTTTGGAAAGGCTCTTTAAACTCAGGAAGTGATAATGTGAATGTTGTAATTCTGAAAAATATACTTCACATTTCCTTTTTGGAAGAAAAGTTATCTAAACTAGAGCATAGTTAGGTGAATATGGAGAAGGAACTTCCCACGTGAGTGTAGATTCAGGCCTCAACTTCAACTGAGAGTCGTTGAGTATCATATTCCTAGTGCTGTCAATCATCCTTTTTCATTTGTGACTTGAATTTAAGACTCATTGTGGTTGTCACAGCACCAAGTGTCGGACTAGTTCACATGTTTAAAGTTTCTGCACTACCAGCAGTATTTGTAACATCTGCGTTACAGATGAGGAACATGAGGGAATTAAGTAGCACAAGGACAGATTACAAATATTTTTCAAATACATAGTATCCTAATGGCTAATTAGGGGAATGTAAATAAAAGCTGATTTCAGATTCCTTTTCATCCTAGTCAGACTGGCTATCATCAAGAAAACAAATGACCACACATCTGATGAGGATGTAGGGAAAAAGGAACTGTTAAATGCTGCTATTAGGAATGTGAACCAGTGTGGCCACTGTGGAAATCAACATGGTAGTTCCTCAAACAACTAAAACTAAATTAGAGCCAGCATATGATCCAGATGATGACTCCTGGTATATCCCCAAGGGACTCAAACTCAACATACCACAGAGAGGCCTGCACACCCAAGCTCATTGCTACACAATAGTCAAGGCATGAGACGATTTAGATGACTATCAGCAGATGGATGGAAAAGCAAAATGTGGTCTTTACACACAATGTAATTTTATTCAACTGTGACGAAGAATAAAATAATGACATTTTTGTGAGATGGATAGAATGAAGGATCATCATACTAAATAATAAGACAATCTCAGAAAGATAAATACTGTGTTTTCTTTATTACAAATATATATATATGCATATATATATATATGTGTGTGTGTGTGTGAGAATAGAAGAGGCACTACTAGGAGAGAGAAAGTGGTTCAAGAGGTGGAAGATAAGAGAAAACAATGAGAAAGAAAAGACAAATGCCATGCTTTCTTTTGTATATAGAATCTGAAGTTGTGCACATGCGTGCGCGTGCATGCGCACGCATGCGCACGCACGCACACACACACACACACACACACACACACACACACACACACACACACACACGTCACATGTGTGGTAAAAAAGCAGAGAGAAAATATTTGGGAGAGAAAAAAAACCACCGAGAGGGTGGGAAGGAATCAGGAACATAATAATCAGGCAAATATGAATATATGTATACATATATATTTCCATTTGTCATCTATCTATCAATCAATTGATCCATCCATCCATCCATCCATCCATCATCTATTTGTTGAAAGCAGTGGTGGTGATATAAGGGCCAAGGTCTTGTTTCTCAGGTAGTGAAAGAGTCACTGAGTAAGATGACATGAGTTTCTAAAGTGGGAATTTCCAGGGCTGAGAACATAGCTAAAAGATCTCAGAGTCCTGAGAAGCAAAGGCAATGCCAAGTTCCTTTCAGCGACTTGTGGTGAGAATTGCTGATGAAGTATGTGCCTTCTGGAAATGTGCTGCTGGCTCAACAAAGAAGAGACATTTGAGAAAATAGAGGGGAATGATTAAGATTCAAGATGTAGTAAATGTTAGTATTCTGGCATCCGTACTGGCCTGCCCTCAGGGTTCTGACAGGATACATCCTCAGATGCAACCAGTAGGAGTACCACCTGTGCACATTTACTACAATCCCTTTTAAAGAGGCTCCATCTCTCTCTCTCTCTCTCTCTCTCTCTCTCTCTCTCTCTCTCTCTCTCTCTCTCTCTCTCTCTCTCCTTTTCTGCCTGTCCCTCTGTCTCCACCCCGTCTCTTTTTTTCTTCTGCTGTTCCTGCCCCCAGAGGCTGGTCCCCCCATTTCCCTCCATGATTTTCCCATTCCCTTTCCATTAATTAAAAAAAAGCCCCCCCTCCCCACATGAGCTCTGCTACATTGCATCTTTCTGCCTTACACCACTTTTTAAATTACAAAATTACAACAGTAAGGGATTATGCTGGTATAGCTAAGTGACTATAGTAGATTATTCTTTGTAAGACTCATAACCTTACTAGCCTCAGGTGGCTGGCTAGGTTTCCACACCAGGCATGATTTCCCTCCTGCTGAGTCAGCCTTAGGTCCAATTAGGCAGCAGTTGGGTGCCATTGACATGTGAATGCCACTTATTTCACCTCTATGCACATCTTGCTATGCTGGATAGTTGTGGATCATAAGTATTGCAGTTGGGTAGGACTGCTTGTTTTATTTCTTTGGCATAGTATTTTCTGGAACCATGGGAATTAATCCAAAGGAAAGAAGCTTTCAGACACAGCTTGAATCACCTGAGTCCTATGTCCTAAGTCTGCAGTGTCTTCAGCAGTAAGGAGCCTCCCCAGATCCCGGAGAAGCAACCAAGGGGCTAAATCAATTTTCTATATTGTTTTGGGAGTCACTTAGTCTACCCTCCCCAACTATTTGAATAGTGGTTTTAATTTTTAAAAGGACATGATGGAGTTAATAGGTCCAGAGTCCCAGAAGACACATTTGGTAAAGTGTGTGAAGATGGGTCTTAACAGGAAATATTCAGAACCCTATGACAAATAGGTTACTGCTTATGAGGTATAATGATGTTGATACTGGGATGTCTCACAGCAGCCCATGTGGACACAGAGAAATGTGTGGATGAAAGCAATCTAAAATGGTATCATCTGAAAATGTTTGGAAAACAAACTTCAAGTAAGAAGACCTAATTTAATCAGACCAAATAAAAGTGTATGGCTGTCATAAATCTACACTAAAGACTAATGAGAAGAAAGTAATTTCTTAACTATGCAGTGTTATGTTGAAAAAGCACAAGTGGTTTAAATTATTTAATTAAATGAAAGCCCTAGGAAGATGTCATTTCCAAAATAGATGTATTTCACATTCTGGATAGATTGTGGAATCAGCTAGAAACAAGTCAAGAATGTGCCCAGATCCCCTGTTGATGTGAGATGTCCTTCTGTATGCTGCAAATATGTGTTGCTTTTACTGGTTGATGAATAAAGCTGATTTAACCAATTGCCAGACAGAATATAGCTAGGCAGGAAATCCAAACAGAGTTATGGAGAGGAAGAAGGAGAAGTTGGGAGATGCCATGTAGCTGCCAAAGTGGTAAGATGCCAGAATATTGCCAGTATGGCATGGCCATGTGGTGATACACAGATTATTGAAAGTGGTTTAATTTAGAAGAGAGCTAGTCAGTAATAATCCAAACAATTGTATTTAATCTTAGCCTCGGAATAATTATTTCATAAGTGGCTTCATGGACTCATGAGCAGGGGAGAAACCAGTCCAGGCAGACCAGCATGGCAGAGAAAAACATTCAGCTACACACTATAGCTCCATAGTGTGGGCACAATCTTAATATCTCCATGTGTTATCCTTCTAATGAGATGGACTTACCCCAAGAACTGTGGCTTCCTTAGGCACACCAACCAGGTCATCTCCTTTTTGGTGGCTGTGTCCAGCTTTCTCTCTTTTGTGAATAACGATGTCCATTGGAAGGAAGGCCCCTAAATCCTCTTGATGACAAGTATGATACTATTGATTGCTAGAAGAGGCACTGTGCTCATTAGTTCCTAGGGCGTGACTGACACACACTCACAGGCATCAGAGTCTGTAGGGAGTGTGGAATGACTTTTCTTTAGATGAGAATTGGGTACATTCAGGGTGTAATGACCATAGACTGGCTTGTTTTCTACAAACAGAACTGGATCTGAGTTTCAGGGGGAGCATAGAAGAGCTAGCTTGCTTGTTGTACTTCATCCATGATGAATAAGAAACATGCTATTGGGGAAAACTATAAACAATTAAAGGAAGCCCACAATTTGGAGGTAATTCAAACAGAATTTTCTCTGCAGCCCTCACTGCCTGTCCCACAAAGCCTTTACATTTAGCCCCCTTTCTCTTCTTCTTGTACCCCTGCTTCCTCTATAGTTCAATCCTCTATCTCCCAGAAGCTCACACTGAAGCTGCATTTATTCTCTCTAATTCTCCCACTATTCATTTTCTACCCATTAGTATTGGGTGAGTTTATAAAAGGAACACATCTACTCCACTTTTTTTTCCCCCAGACACTAGAGCACATAAGGTCTTAATCCTTCTAAAGATGTTAAGTATATTTCATATATTAGCAACTCGGAGCTAATAAGTTCATTTCATTAAGTGAAAGTCAAAAACAAACTTACCTGATGCATTGCATATGTTTAATACACTGTAGCAAATATAATTATTGTTAGTCTGTTATTTGCCTAACTTGCATGTACCTGGGCTGTGTCTACTGGGATCAGGACCTTGCAATATTTTCTTCTACACAACACCAGCTCTTTTCACCTTGCCTCTTCCTCCTTCCCAGTATTAACAGCTCCACTCCAGGAGAAAACAATGCTGCACGGGGTCAATGGCACCAAAAGGAACCCCAGATCTTGTTCCAGTGGGGGAGGGGGGATGGCACCGCAATGGGAATGGGAATGGAGTGCTGGTCACATCTGGAGCACTGACTGCCATTCGTGAGTGACGAGTTGGCCCCTAGGAATGGCTGTGGCCTTGGGGAAGTGTGTTAAAGGTGTCTTTTCCCAGAACTGCTCCCATATTGGGAAACCTGGATTTTAACTTGACTTTTGTCCCTTTCAACTAATCTTACTAACTAATCTCTCTGGTTCTGATTTTTTCCCCTGGGTTTGCCAGGGCTCATATCCAAGAACACTAACTTATACAATATTCTAAGCCCCATGTTAGGAACTGGAAGCCTGGTTGATTTTTCTCCAGCCTATCAACATTGTGTGCATTTATTTTCTGTTGTTATTTTAAAATGGACCGATTTGGGCTTTTTAAGACCACAAAGCAACAATTTCAACTAAAAGAAATAAAGTTTGCATGAATTTAAATGTTCTGGACTCCTCAGCATTTTATGTGAAACTATCAGTTTCAGGGTTTATGTGCTCTTCTCTCTCTCTCCTCTTTATGTATGACTTTACCCAATTACAACATTATGCAAATGGTCAGTCCATCCATTTGAATTTCTTTTCATTGATTTGTCAGTGGACATCTTTGACTAATTAATATAAAAGCCTTAAGTATTAAAGCCAAATACTAGATTCTGACCTATGCCACGGCACAGATGAACCTCAAAAATAAAGTAAGTGAAGTTAGTCAGTCAAAAAAAAGGTCAGATGCTGTGCTATTCTACTTATGAGGTACCCTGACTAGTCTACATAATTTTTTAGAAAGTAAAACAGTAGCTGTCAAGGGCTGGGGAAGAGCTGAGGAGCAGCTGTTTAGTGGATATGGTTCCACTCTGTAAAGATGACCAAGTTCTGGAGTTGGAAGGTGGTAAAGGTGTCAGAACATGAATGAGCTTGATGCCACTTAACTGAAAACTTCCTTTGGTTAGAATGCCACAAGTATGTAAGCAGGGTTTAACTCTAATTAAACAATCCAAATGAATGCATGTTTCTGGATTCATTAAATCGGACACATGTTCATGATCATTTTGTTTTTTTCTGTTTCTTTTTAAATTTTACTGCTATGAATAATGCTGTAGGAAACATCTGTGCACTTTAAAACATTGTAGAATTTATGCTTATTTTATCTATTAAATCATATACTTATGACAACATGTAGAGTTTTTTTTTTTAAAGAATTTCAGCTATTGTATTTATTTTGGATATGTATAGTTATTTTAGGAGCAACTCTATATAATGAAGTTCTTTTTTAAAAAAATTATGTTTGCCAACTGACACCATTGCCTCCAAATCCAACAATGGAGAGGATGCTTTGTCCCTTAACATTCATTATAATAAGGTGAAGTAGTAGTGGCCCACAGCTTTTGAAATGGGTTAAAAAACTCCCACTGTTCAGGCAAACAGCTCTGTAGAATACTTTTCTGTGTTATAATATTAGATTATAATTATAGTTTCCAAATTCAACATTTTCTCAAATCCCAGTTTTCACCAGGAACACGTTTTGTAAGACTGAGTGGGGAACAGTGGGGTAATAGGGGAAACCCAGAAGGTCATCAGTTCAAATTTCAGGTGAAATCTAAAGGTGGTTTGCTTTTTAGCAAGCAAGTAAACAGAGGCCCCAGGTGGGAATTTAACTCGCCAGTTCATACAGGTGGCCAACAGAAAAGATAGAATATGAATCTAGTTCCCCGGCTGTCAATCCAGAGCACAGTCTTCCCCAGGGGTTAGAATCTAAACCAAAATACCAGGCGGTCAACAGAAAAGACAGATGAGAATCCAGCTTCCAGTCTGTCCATCTGAAGGAAGTCTCCCCCAGGGGTTCTGCCCCATTAAAGTCCTACCTGTCCTCACAGCCCTGTCCTGTGTGCTCCTGTGTCCAATCACTCAGGCCCCTGGAGCTCTCAGGCTCAACCTTCCACCAGCTGCTCCCTCCAGAAGTTTCACTCTCTGCTTTCGACACTCAGGCAGTCTGTGTTTTCCCCGGAAAGTATTCGTGATTACTCAGGATGTGAATTTGCTGTAATTACAAGCAGCTAGCAAATGAAGAGCTGCTCTGCTTCCCCTTTCTGAATTTAGAGGTTTGGGAAAATAACACAAAATAAGACATCTCACGAAAGAAAGTGTTGTGGGCTCGTTTGAAATAATTCCCTGCACTTCTATGTGGAGGGAAGAAAGCACATTGGTTGTATTAAGTCTGTCTTCTTATTTGCTAAATGAAGAATGAATATTAGTAACTTGACCATCTGACTGTTGCAGAATTAATGAGAAACGAAGAGTTTATAAAAGAGAATTATTGCTAATGATAGTGATTATTGATGTTTAATAAGGATCAGGAGAAACAAATAGGCCGAATAGATGTTTATTCAGGGAGAAATAACTCACAACATAGACAGATGAACACCAGCAGGTTCCTGGTCCCAAGGATGCCTCTGGATGTACTCCTGTCCCCATGCTGGAAGCAAGAGAGCTCTCCGAGCCCCCTCCTCAGCCTTAGTTCCCCCAGGTCACATCTGGCCCTGTCTCCACCCCCAATGATGGGTGTGGTCTATGCTACAAGTGCAGACAAGGTGAATATCTCACTACAAATGATACATTTAGATTTGAGAGAATTTCAAATTTTTCTTTGTGTAATCTTTCTAGACATTGAAGAAAGAATTCCATAAGATATGAGAAGATGGAAAGATCACCCGTGCTCATGGATCAGTAGGATTAATATTGTGAAAATGGCCATCCTACTAAAGATAATCTACAGATTCAATGCGATCTTCATCAAAATTCCAGCACAATTTTTCAGCTTCATATAGAAATACAAAACAACTCAGAACAGCTAATACAATCCTCAATTTAAAAAAAAACTGCTGGAGGCATTGCCATTCCATATTTCAATTTGTATTATAGAGCAATGGTAATAAAAAACAACATGCATTGACATAAAAACAGACATCTCAATAAATAGAATTGAAGACCCAGACATAACTCCACACAAGTATTAACACCTCATTTTTGACAAAGCAAAAAAAAAAAAAAAAAAAAAAAAAAAGAAAAAAGAAAAAAGAAAAATACAGCATCTTCAATAAATGGTGCTGGTCATACTGGTGGCTTCATGCAGAATGAAAATAGTTTCATAGATCTAGTACCCTGCACAAAAGTCAACTCCAAATAGATCAAGGATCTCCAGTGAGGTGATTACAACATCCTTAGATCTTTTTAAAGAGTCCAGTGTTCCAGAAGGGTAAGTGAATCATGGGGCAAGGAATGTTTCAATGATACAGGGGTTTTCCAGTTCCCTCCCCAAATTGACTTCAAGATTTGGTACATCTCAGGTCCTACATGGAAGAGTTTACCAGCAATCCTCTTTCAGGTTCTCTGTCAGCTGAAAGGGCCAGTGGAAACTCCCTTGCTGTACCTACTGGAGGTGCCTCTCTGTTGGGAGCCGGCCTTGAGTCACATCCTCTAGCAAAATAATGTATACCTTAAAACTCTAATTGAGCCTTATCTTGGTAAAGCAGAAAACTGCTGAAAAAGCAGTGTGTTCCATTCAACCCAGGAACTGAGATGAACTAAGACACCAGGAACTGAGATAGGCAGACATCTAGGGTCTGATATTTTTGGCCTGGGAAAATACCAGAGCCCCAGAGTTAGCACAGCTACCCCTCCCCATTTCCTCCCTGCTTTGCTTTAAAAACCCCTCTTTGTGCCTAATAAAGTTAGACCTTGACAAAGATTGCTTGGTCTCCTTCCTTCTTTCTCTCCCATTATTTTCAGGTTCTAGCCCACCTCGACCCACGAATAACTAGGCCCCCGCTGGTCGGGGCAACAGAGTAGAAGGCCCTGGTCTTGATTTCCTTTTGTTCCTCAGAGAGTGTTGGATATGATTCATCCATTTCCTCAAACTGGGCAGATAGTGTGTCAATCTTCTCACTTGCTCCCACAGTAGGCCTCTACCTCAGAGCTGAAGTTGAGGGGAGTTCTCCTTATACAGTGAAAGAAAAAAATTGAATACAACCTCAACAATTTTCTCATTTTGTTTGAGACAGAAATCCTCTGACCTCAGCCTTCTGTGTGCTGGGAGTACAGAGATCTGTCACCAGACCAGGCTCAACAAGCTTCTAAGAAAATTCTCCAGTAGCATTTTCAAATAACATTATGCTTCTAATGAAGTCCTACTTCAGTCTTCATCTAAAGTCTTTCTCTGTCCTACCAACCAGCTCCCAAATAATGACACAGATGACACAGAGACTTCTTATTAATTATGAAAGCTCAGTTTTAGCTTAGGCTTGTTTCTAACTAGCTTTTATAACTTAAATTAAC